AAATCATTTAAAAAATCCACGTGCCTTGTTAGGTACGTCTTTGAAAAAATCTTTAATGAAATTCAAGTTACTTGTTTGGTAGGTCCTTTAAAAAATCATTTAAAAAAACCACGTGCCTTGTTAAGTAGGTTTTTGAAAAATCTTTAGGTCGGTAGGTCCTTGAAAAAATCCTTTAAAAAATCCACGTGCCTTGTTCGGCAGGTCTTTGAAAAAAATCTTTAGGTCGGTAGGTCCTTGACAAAATCCTTCAATAAAATCCAAGTTACTTGTTCGGTAGGTCCTTGAAAAAATCCTTTAAAAAATCCACGTGCCTTGTTCAGTAGGTCTTTGAAAAAATCTTTAATAAAATCCAGGTTACTTGAGATGTAGATCCTTGAATAATCTTTAAAAAAATCCACGTGTTTGTTCGGTAGGCCCTTGAAACAATTCTTTAATAAAATCCAGGTTTCTTGTTTGGTAGGTCCTTGAAAAAAAATTTTAAAAAGATCCACGTTACTTGAATAATCTTTAAAAAAATCCACGTTTCTTGTTCGATAGATCCTTGAAAAAATTCTTTAATAAAATCCACGTTTCTTGTTCGGTAGGTTCTTGAAAAAATCCTTTAATAAAATCCACGTTTCTAGGTCTGTAGGTCCTTGGAACGAACTCTTTGGAAAGAGCTCTTAAAAAATCCATGTTTCTTAAGCTAAGTGTCCTTGAAAACATTCCTTAAAATATCCACGTTTCTTGGCCTGAAGGTCCTTGAAAATATTCCTTAAAATATCCACGTTTCTTGGCCTGAAGGTCCTTGAAAATCCACGTTTAATGGGCTTGGGTTCTCCAAAAAAAATCTATAAGTTTCATGGGCCGTAAATCCTTGGAAAAAATTAAGATTTGATGGTCTTTTGAGCCTTGAAAAAATTCTTCAAACGTCTTGAGTTTCTGGGTTTGTAAGTCCTTGTAGAAAATTCTTTAAAAATTCACGTTTCCGGGGCTGTAGATCCTCGAGAAAAAAATTTTCAAAAATCAATGCTTCTTGAGCTGTGGTTCCTTGAAAAAAAATTGTTGGCCTGTAGGTCCTTGAAGAAAACTCTTTAAAAAACACGCTCCTTGGATTGCAGGATCTTTAAAGAATTCTTTAATTTCTTGAACTGTAGGTCCTTGAAAAACTTCGGGGAAAATCCGCTTCAAAGAAATTCTTTAAATAATCCCGGTTTTTGGACTGTGGGTCACCAAACAAATCCTGTGATGTTTCATGGGCTGTCTAAAATCTTGGGCTGAAGGTCCTTGAACAGAATCCACGTTAATTGGGCTGAAGGACCTTGCAAAAAAATCTTAAAAATTCCAAGTTATTTGCCATTGAAAAAATTCTTTAGAAAAATTACGTTGCTGATGCTGTAGGTCCTTGAAAAAAATTTCAAAAAATCCACGTTTCTTTATAAAATCAAAATTTCTTTGGCTGTAGATCCTTGAAATAATAATACACGTTTGCTTGTATTTTTGTCCTTGAAAAAGGACCAGATCCTTGAAAAAAAAATCATAGGTTATCGAACAAATTCTGTGATGTTTCATGGGCTGTCTAAAATCTTGGGCTGTAGGTCCTTGAACAGAATCCGCGTTAATTGGTCTGAAGGACCTTGCAAAAAAATCTTAAAAAATCCAAGTTACAAGCCCTTGAAAAAATTCTTTAGAAAAATTAGGTTGCTGGTGCTGTAGGTCCTTGAGTAAAATTTCAAAAAATCGGCGTTTCTTGGGCCGTATGTTTTTTTTTCTAAAAAAAATTAAAAAATCTATTTTTTCGCCATTTCTGATAGTCAGGAGGTATTTGGAAAATCCGTTAAAAAATCCACGTTTTCTCTCTAAAAATTCCCCGTTTCTCCCTCCATATAATCTCCCATCAATTTTTCAAAAAAACTCCCGCCTTTCATGACGCTAACTTAAGTAGCTGCCCGAGGGGTTCATTGACCCCCCGGTGAAAGGTTAAAAAGTCAGTCGAAAATAATACAATGAAAAACTCGAACGACACAATTTCCTTGAAAGAGACTACCACAACAACAACAGCGACACGGGATGCAATAACAACAACAACAACGACAACAACATCCATAGGCAAATATGTGTTATTTGTAAATGGCAGCCTTTTGAGCCTTTTCGCTCTGTTAACGAACAAAGTGACTGAGCGAGCGACTGTGAATGCAAGGCAAGCGAGTGCATCCTTTCAAGCTTTCACAACCATTTAGACACAGTTAAATGCCGAAGCTCAGTGAGTGAGTGTCTTTTCAGCAAAACAGCCAAAGGCTGGAGAACAGACTTTAGGTTTTTTGTTGGGGTATTTAAAAATTCCATTTAGTTCGCGTCAAGCGCAAAATACAAATGACAAAAAATATTTTATTCAAGAAAAAATAGGAAAAACAAGGAAATAGTAGCTCCTCCTTTGGCTGAGGCCACCAAAAGAAAAATTGTGTTTGGTTGGGATTTTAAGTTGATATATTTGCCTGGTTTTTTTCGGGTTGATGATGTTAAATTTGTCTTTTTTCGTTTTTGATCTACTTCTTTTGGAGGTCCTTTGTATTCCTTTTGGAAATCAAGAAAGTCGTAGAACAACAGACATAAGATGAGGCTTTATAATAAACTTCAGCCGTTGACATATGCATATCACACACAGAGACATTCTTACACATGGAGACAATCATTCTCACACTCACTCACACACATATGTCACTTTTCACAATATATGCCACACGTTTGTTGCCACAAATTTTGATGCCTCGGCTGCTGCTTTCGTTCCAGTTTTCTTAATTAAAGTTCGCTTAACTTTTGACTCATTTTTATGAGCCAAGGAAATGAGAACGAGTCACGAACAGATAGATGTGTGGGAAAAAAGAGGCACACCCATTTCCCAATACAGCCATCACACACACACACACTCACTCACACATATACATTTGCAATCAGAAATAGTTGGTAACATTCGTTTTTATATCTGGAAGAAGAAAAAAACTTTGTCTTCGCATTGCAATAAAGTCAGGATGCCACAAAACTATGGAAAATTTTGAAAAAGTGTTTTATGATAAAATAAATTCAAACACAAAAAGAGAATTAAGAAAATTCCGAAAAAGGGGAGGTATGTCGTATTTTATCAAGTCAAAAAGATCCGGGGGAAATTCACTCCCATACACTTGAATTCCCTCCCCGGAAACTTGATTTCCGAATAGTATTATTTTGGATGATTATTTTTTATCGTAGCCTTAAAGTTTGAAGTTTCTAAAGACCTTTTATAATTCTCGTTTTTTTTTTTTTTTGCTGTGGGACCTTGAAAAAATCCTAAAAAATCCACGATTCTTTGGCTGGAGGTCCTTGAAAAAATTCGTTAAAGATCCAGCTTGCTTTTGGGTGTATGTCCTTGGAAAAATCCTTTAAAAATCAATGTTTCTTTAGCTGGAAGTCCTTGAAAAACAATTCCAAGTTTCTTGACTTGTAGGTCCTTGAAAAATATTCTTTATAAAATATAGTGTTTTGGGATGCGGGTCCTTCAGATTTGTTTTTAATCAGCGATTCTTTGGTTGTAGGTCCTTGAAAAAAAATCCTTTGAAAATCCACGTTTCTTTGGCTGTAGGTCCTTGAAAAAAAAAAATCCTTTGAAAATCCACGTTTCTTTGGCTGTAGGTCCTTGAAAAAAAAAATCCTTTGAAAATCCACGTTTCTTTGGCTGTAGGTCCTTGAAAAAAAATTCTTTGAAAATCCAAGATTCTTTGGATGTAGGTCCTTGAAAAAAAATTCTTTGGAAATCCACGATTCCTTGGCTGTAGTTCTGTAAAAAAGTCTTTAAAAATCCATGATTCTTTGGCTGTGTGACCTTGAAAAATCCTTTAAAAAACCACGTTTCTTCGACTGTGGGACCTTGAAAAAATCCTTTAAAAAACCACGTTTCTTCGGCTGTGGGACCTTGAAAATATCCTTTAAAAATCCACGTTTCTGTGGGATCTTGAAAAAATCCTTAAAATTTCAAGGTTCTGTGGCAGTGGGACCTTGAAAAAATCCTAAAAATATCCACGATTCTTTGGCTGGAGGTCCTTGAAAAAATTCGTTAAAGATCCAGCTTGTTTTTGGGTGTATGTCATTGGAAAAATCCTTTAAAAATCAACGTTTCTTTAGCTGGAAGTCCTTGAAAAACAAATCCAAGTTTCTTGACCTGTAGGTCCTTGAAAAATATTCTTTAAAAAATATAGTGTTTTGGGATGCGGGACCTTCAGATTTTTTTAATCAGCTATTCTTTGGCTGTAGGTCCTTGAAAAAAAATCCTTTGAAAATCCACGTTTCTTTGGCTGTAGGTCCTTGAAAAACAATTCCAAGTAGGTCCTTGAAAAATATTCTTTAAAAAATCTAGTTTTTTGGGATGCAGGTCCTTCAGATTTTGTTTTTAATCAGCGATACTTTGGCTGTAGGTTCTTGAAAAAAAAACCTTTGAAAATCCACGTTTCTTTGGCTGTAGTTCCTTAAAAAAAAAATCCTTTAAAAATCCACGTTTCTTTGGCTGTAGGTCCTTGAAAAAAAAATCCTTTGAAAATCCACGATTCTTTGGATTTAGTTCTGTAAAAAAGTCTTTAAAAATCCATGATTCCCTGTCTGTAGTTCCTTTGAAAAAAAAAAAAAAAAAATTAAAATACAAGTTCCTTCGGCTGTAGGTTCTTAAAAAAAATCTTTAAAAATCCAAGTTTCTTTGGCTGTAGTTCCTTGAAAAAAATTCTTAAAAAAATCCAAGTTTCTTTGGCCGAATGTCCTTAAAAAACCACGTTTTTCTTTAAAAACCCACGTTTTTCGGCTGTAGGAGGTATATCAAGAAAATTCCGAAAAAATGGGAGGTATGTCGTATTTTATCAAGTCAAAAAGATCCGGGGAAATTCCCTCCCATACACTTGAATTCCCTCCCTGGAAACTTGAGGCGTTATATCCATATTTCCATTTTTTTAAGTATTCAAAATCCTTAAAAATTAAAAAAAAAAAAAATTTTAAATAATTACCTTGTAAAAGAAATTTAACTGTAAAAAATAAAAAAAATTAAAATTATTAAAATAAGCAAATAAAAGTTTTAAATAAAATTATTTAAAAAATAACAATAATTGTTATAATGGAAAAATTAAAACATGAATACAAATAAATTAGAAAATATAAATAAAGTTAAAAATAATATTAATAATATTAAAAAAAAAATCATAAAAAAAAGATTATTTCAAATAAAATTATTAAAGAATATTAAAAATAATTATTATTGCTGAAAAAAAGTTGAAACGTGATTTTTTTGTGAAAAAATAGAAATCAATCAAGATATCAATAAATATCAATAAAACACATCTACGATTTTACCAGAATGTAAAGGTCATGTCTTTTAATTTTTTTTTTTAAAGTCTACCATTTCTTGTTGGATTTTTAATTTTAAAAAATAGAGAATTTTGAAATAGACTTTATTTGTTCTTGAAAATCAACAGCTTTTTGCCAAAACAACCTTGAAAAATCCACTATCTTTGGTTAGAGTAATGTTTGGCAGAAAACCCTTGAAAAATCCAATATTTTGGACGAAGAAATATGAAAAAGAAAATTCGCCCAAATTCAATTTTTTTTTTCAGAATGTCATTCAGGTTCAATGATTTTTACAATTCTATTTCTGAATGAAAAATCTAAGTTGTAAATATAAAAAAACATCGACGATTTTGCCAGAATTATCTCTTAAAGTTAATGTTCTTTGACATAACATTTTTGTCACGTCTTTTTTTTTTTTTTTTTTTTTTTTTGCTCAGAATATCCTTCGAAATCAATGATTTCAACCCGGAAGCCCTTGAAAAATGTATGATTCCCTTGGAAAATTTATAATATGTGATAGGGCAAAAGATTATATTTAAAACCTTCTTCTTAGAATGTCTTTAGTATCAGAAGATCTTTTATATTTTTTTTTTATTTTTTTGAAAAATGCATAAATTCTCTATGATTTTTGTCCTGAAGGATCTTATAAGTATCCTTTAACAATCCCTCATTCCCGGTCCAAAGATTCTTAAAATTCAATGTTATTCATCAGAAAGTCCTTGCCAATGCACTTTTTTTGGTCAGCATGTTCTTCGAACTGTTATGAAGAATATTAATTATTTTTAATAGAGAGTTCTTGAGTTGATTTTTTGTCGGGAAATACTGAGCAATACCCTTTTTCTAAAACAATATCTTTAATTGTTTATGTAAGACATCCTAAAAATATTGTTTAAAAATAAAATTCAACTATGACTAACACTGCCTGATTTTTCCAGGAAATCGTTAAAAAAAATCTATGGGTATTTGGGTAAAAGTCTAAAAAATATTCTTTGAAAGACTATTAGATTCGAAAGGAGGATCCTTTAAAATATACCTTTTAAAAATTGCATTATTTTTTTTTCAGAAATTCCACTACGATATTTCTAAGTAATGCACTATGCTCACTAGTCAGTTCTTAAAGAATCTATGAATTTTGTCAAGGCACCTAAATAATGAAGAATTATTCTTAGAACTTATCACCAGAGGATCCTTCAGAACATCATTTAAAATCCACTACTTTTAGTTGAAAGATCCTCAAATAGTTTTCCAAATTCCATGATTAAGGGCTTCCTTATGAATAATTGATTTTTGACCATGAAAGTTCAAAAATAAGTACCAAATTTAATTAATTATCCTTTATAATATTCGAAAAAGTCCTTGAAAAATTGAAAGATTTTTGGAAAAAAAAATTTCTAAAAATAAATATGAAGGTCTTCTTAAATATCCCTTAGAATCCCTTTTTTGGTTAGGAAATCTTTAAAATTGTTTCAGAGGATCAATGAAATCTGATATATTTATGTTTTTTGGGTACACCTCTTTTGAGCAGAAGGTTATTTAAAAATCCAATCCATGATTTTTGCTAGGAAGCCTTCGAAATTTCATTTCTATAATTTTTAGCCAAGAAATCTTAAAAATGTTCAATATATATTTTTTTTAACAGACTTGGCACTCTTCACAAGACGATCCTTCAAAATATCTTTCAACAAATCCACCTCTTTAGGTTAGAAAGTAGTCCCAAAAATCCATGGATTTAAACAGGAAGCTCTTAAAAATAATTGATGTATGACCACGAAATTTTTAAATATTTTTTTTAGTTATTCACATTTTTGGTCGCTTCAAAAGTCAGCAAATCTTCAAGAATATTTGTAAATAAAACCTGGAAAAATGTAAGGTTTTGGGACAAAATATCCATAAAATATTCTTCAAAAAATTCAATATTTTTTGAGAAAGAAAATAACCTTCAAGAATACCATTTTTGGGTAACTATATTTTTAAAATATTTTTAGAGGATCCATGCACACTGCAATTTTTATGTTATATCTTCTAGATAGACTTAAGCGTATTCTTAAAGAAGGTGTCCCACAACAATCCACATTTTGCGGTCAGAATGTGTTAAAATATATTCTAAAAAAAAATTGGGTTTTTTCCCAATAAGTCTTTGAAGAAAAAAATTGATTTTTGTTTATCTATCGATGATCATCAATCTTAAAAAAATATTTTTACTACTAAGTCCTTGCAAAATTCAATATTTTTATGAAAGAATTTTTTATGGAAAGAACGCCATGATTATAATTATAATTTAAAGTTCAAAGGACTAAATATGCCGAAGCATTTGTATCTTTTAAATTTGGACTTGTATTGCCCATTTATTGCAGCATTAATTTGAAATTGGATAAAGATATATATGGGAGCTATATCCAAATCGGAACTGATCTCGATAAAGTTTGGCAAAGATATTTCTGAGCTCTATTTGATATATTTCCCCCAAATATCGATGTTACGGAGTGCATATTACGGCTGCGGAGGACTAAAATAACAAATCGGATGAACAATATATATTGGAGCAATAGCTATATCTGAACCGATTTCGATAACATTTGGCATACTTATTTTCAGGCCTAGTCTGGTTGTGTGTGCAAAATTCCGTACTATTCGGGCTGATATTACACATTTGGTTCACAATAAAAGGCAAATCGGACGAAGATATATATGGGAGCTATATCTAAATTTTCACCGATTATCTCCAATTTCAATAGGGTTCGTCCTTGAGCCAAACAAATGTTGTTTGGAAAATTTCATCTCAATCGGATAATAAATGCGACCTGCATTTTGTTCACAAAAATACATGGACAGACGGACGGACATGCATAAATCGATTCAGAATGTGATTCTATGCATCATCAAAAGGAACTACGGGTCTATCTCGTTTCCTTTTGCCTATCACAAACAACTGCACAAAGACATAATACCCTTACCACTATGTGGTGTAGGGTATAAAAATGAAAAATATCTGTCATTTGGAGCATATGGGTGCCTCAAAATATCATTTAAGAGCCAGTATATTTGGTTAGTAGAACCTTTTGAATGTTTTCAACAAAATATGCAATTTTTGGCCAGAATTCTTTTTCAAATATTTTCTTCAAAATCAAGGATTTTTAAGTGAATTATAAAGAATCTTTGGTGAGGTAAAGATTCTTTGCAAGAGGACAGAATGATACCATTATAGTCGTATTGAGAACGAGAAGCCACAGAATCGTTTAAACTCCATATTGCGGTGTTCCTTTGGTTACTGATTTCCCTGTGGATGCCTCACCGAGGCTGGTATTATTGCTGCTAAGCATTACATCAATTCAGTTTGTTAATGCTGGGTAAGGCATTATTTATGGATTTGAGTTCCGCATAGTTGAAGGCGCCCTCTATGTCAAAAGCAAAAAAAAAAAAAACACACACACACACACACCAAGGTGTTCTTTTTCTTCTCTGTATATTTTTTCAATATAGCTGACCTCATGAAGAGCTGCTTCAAAAGAATTTCCTTTCCTTTGTTTAGCTCCGTTTTAATATCTCGATAGGTTAATTGGTCTATAGTCTTTCGGTGTGGTGTGACTTGGTTTACTTCTCAATAGACGAGGTAAATATCACAGTGATGATACGAACCGATGATAAATCCTGGTCCGAACATTAAGTTCATGAAAAAATTCGTCATCGGGCCATACAAATTAACTTCATGAAAAAATTCGTCATCGGGCCTTACAAATTAACGTGGACAGACGGAAGAATGGACACACAAAGTTAGATCCACCCAGAGTGGCGAGATAGAAATATTGTGGGTCTAGGACCCTAACAAAGTTATAATACCTTCAACACATAGTGTTATAGGGTATAATTTAATAAAAAATATAATAATTGACTAACTAAATAAATATAAGTTTATAAGTATACCTCAATTCAGCTGCCCTGAATTAACTCTTCCCGCAAAAATATTTAAATATCTTCACATTTTTTTTTCTAAAATGTTGACACCCTTTTTAAATGGCGCCCAATTAGGCCACCCAAGAGCATTTATGAATAATTGAAATAAAATAACCCAGTGCATGCCTGTTGGCTGCCTGGGAAAGGGCGTTTCCTCTTGAATATCTGGCCTCACCCCTCTCCCTCTCCTGTTCTTCTAAAACATGTTAAGGTTTGTTTGATGTTCATTTCATTTCGTTTCATTCAACCAGCCAAGCGACCGCAAAATGAATGAAATAGCAGGAAGGCAGGCACCAAAACGCTTGATTAAAACCCACTTTATTAGCAAAGTTTTCAAATCCGTTTTGTTTTTTCCACAGAATTATGAAGGCATTGGAGATTAAACGTTTAGAAGCCAACTTTTTTACACGTTGCGGTTTTTTTTTCTTTCTTCGAGGCTTTTTTTTGGTTTAGTAATTTTAAATAGGGTTGTTCTGCTTCGGGTTTGTTTTTTTTTTTGCTTTTTCATAGCCTACAAGCAATTGTTTAAATAAAAGTTTTAATATTTAAAAAGTTTTTTTATGCTGGTTGCTGCTTGTTGTTGTAATTTTTTTTCCGTCCTATGCTCATATTTTAGTAATGCTCACTTGGGTGTAAAATTTTAAAATTAGTTTGTTTTTCTTTGCCTGCCTGCGTTTTTTTACATGACTTCAGCCAGACACAATAAAAAAATTATTTGCTTTAAAAAAAA